GGCGCCGCCCGCCCGCCCGAGCCGCCACCGGTGACAGCGGCGACCGGGCGGGACCGGGACCGGGCCGGGCTGGACCCCGCTGGTGCCTGGGCCGGGGTCGGTCTCTCCACCGCTGGGGCTGCAGGGACGAGGCACCATTTGGTCCCCGTCACCTCCCGAGCGCTCTTGATGCTCAAGCGGGTGATTCTTGCAACCCTGTTGCGTCTCGGCTTGTCTGCGTGATGATGGAGGTGCTGAGGAGGAGGAGCACGGACCTTCCTCCCCTCGGCCACGTGTCCCTGGGCACAAGCTGTGGCTCTTGCTGCTCTTCCTGGGATCGGTGGTGGATGCTGCTCTACAGGTCTAGCAGCGCCCTGGATGCATCCCCAGCAGAGCTGTTGTGGATGTTGCTCCAGGTGCTTCCCGCCTCGGGGCTGACACGAGGAAGGGAAATGGGGCAATTGGTGAGCGCCAGCGGCTGGAAATGCATCTGCTCATCCCGAGATGGACTTTGTAGCAGCACGTGAGTAACGATCCCGGCCGGTGCGGAAGGCGAAAGCCTTCCTGAGTTTTCACTGTGTTTACAGCTTTTCCTAGCAGGACCTCGGTGTCAGAGGAACGCGGTGTCCCCGCTGGGCTTGCTCGGGTGCCCTGAGGACAACCGTGTCGTACTGAGCTCTGTGATCCTCCGTGCAGGGCGCTGTGCAGGGAAAACCATTAGTTTGTGGTAATAATTACTCAGGGGGTGAAGTGCTGGGGTGACAGTCATGCACAGGATCGGCCGCCTGCTGCATTCTGGTGACCTGGAGAGAGCAGGGAGCTCTGGAGCCCTCCCAAGTCACCAAAAAAGGGGCCCTTAGCTGCCGTTGTGGTGCTGTGCTGGATGGTGGCTAGTAGTAGCCCATGCCGGGGTCTGGATCAGCCTTCGTTCTCCTTGGCTCGTCCTACCCACTCGAGACCAAAGAGGGCCGGTTCCCCTAGCACTGGTTTTCCAGCTGTGCTTCCCAATGGGAGGGTCCAGGGGACCTGGGGGAACCCAACCAAAATCCTCCTTGCAAGCATGGGAGAGGCTAGGCTTGAGGCTTGGCTGGGCTGTAGCTTTGGGGTTTTTCTTTTCATATGAAATCTGTTTCTGCGCCATTCTCACGCTCCTGGCGGCCAATTTGGTTGGGAATTTGCAAGCGCCGGCATCGTGTTAATGGGTGGAATTTGATAATCAAATAAGCTCTTCACCCCAGCGACCATGAGTGCCTGCAGCGGGACATCCCGCCCGCTCTGCTGCATCTCCAGTGCAGCCTCCTCGAGTCCTGAGGAGCCTCGGGGGGACACAGGTGACCTGGGCGCTTCCCCGGGGGCCAAGGTGGCCTCGGGGGCAAGTGGGGAAGGGAGCAGCGAGGGCTGCAGGTGCGGGCCGGGCTGCGCAGCCCCAGGAAGGGCCCGGGGCTGCAAGGGGCAGCTCGGCCGGGATGTGCCCGGGGGCCACTGCGATGCTTGAAGTTCCCCCCTCCCCTCCCAAGGGGAGGGGCAAAAGGGCCAATTCCCGCCCTTTATGCAGATCTCTGCGCGGCGATTGGCCGTCGGGGGGTCGAGGCGGGGCCGGGAGCCGCAGACAGGTTATAAGAGCGGGGGGAAACAATGCGCCGTGTCCCGGTTCGGGGGTTGCCGCCGCCGCGACCCGCAGCGCCGGGGAAGGTGCGTGCTGGGCGGGGGGCGCCCCCTTCCCTGGGGGGCGGTCATGTTGTCCCTGTCCTAGCCGGGAGCGGGGACGCCCCCCTCGGTGGCCGGGGGGGTTTTCCCGCCCTTTAGGGGTGTCCCCGGCCTCGTGGCCCTGACCCCCGGTTCTTCGCCGGTGCCGCCAGGCTCTGCCCCCCTGCTCCGCGCCGCCCCATGCAGCCATGGAGCTGGACACGTTCCAGCACTACTTCTACGACCACGACGCTGAGGAGGATTCCTACCGCTCCACGGCGCCCAGCGAGGACATCTGGAAGAAGTTCGAGCTGGTCCCCACGCCGCCTCTGTCGCCCCTGGGACCCCCGGGGGACAAAGCCTGTTGCTCTGGCGCGGAGGAGAGAGCCACTTGGCTCTCCCGCTACTGCCTGGCCGGGGAAGAGCCGGAGTATCTCATAGACACGGGGAAGATCTTTGGGAACCTGAGCGCTTTCATCCTCAAGGACTGCATGTGGAGCGGCTTCTCGGCGAGGGAGAGACTGGAGAAGGCGATGACGGAGAAACTTTCCGCGGGCCCGCCCAGGCTGAGCGCCCACAAACCCTCCTTCGCCCAGGACTTCGGGTTCGGCAGCTCGCTGAGCGAGTGCGTGGATCCCGCTGCCGTCTTCCTGTGCCCGCTGCCCGAGAGCAAGATCCTGCCGTCCTCGGGATCGGAGGGCCAGAGCGATTCCGGTAAGGAAGGGCTCAGGGTGCCGCGCTGCCCCGGGGCGCGGGGGGCCCGGGCCGGAGGCTCCCCGCCGGGCAGCGCCTTTGTTGCCGGTCTCGGCACCGAGAACAAAGGGAAGCTGCCCGCTCCACTTGCCGGGGGATTCGGGGCG